AGACTGAAGGCAGTGCTTTAAAGCATAGCATGAGAGGAAGCTGCTTAATTTTGCTTTGTGTCTCTTTTTGAACTGCAGTCTGACAAGCTGGGTTTGGTACCTGTAGTTTTGTGTATTGTCAGTTGAGATTAAATATAATGTTCTGGTTGCAGTATGGATCCGAAAAATAAGAAGTTCCAGTTTATTGTGTGGAGAAGGGTAAAATAGAATATTTTTAAAGACTATACTCATTTGCTTCAGTTTTTAATACCCTTTGTTCATTTAAAGTTATTAACGTGTTGACTACATTTGCCTTTATTGCTCCTATGCAAATTGCTATGTTGATTGAGTTAATTTAAACAACCTGGTTGGGACCTTCAGGCATTACTATACTAGAAATGTTAATAATGAATCAAATAACCACAGGTGCCTCTTTCCCCAGCAACAGACACTCTCCTTAAAAACTCATTTGCTTTTCATGCTTGCTTAATTATTTAGGCAAGCAGCCATGGATGTTTCACAGTGTGAATTCTCATCGCGTTCCAACTGCCCAGTCTTTGTCTTTCTAAAAGACAGAATACCTTAACCAGTGTCACCATTTGTAATGTTTTTCCATAATACCTTACCATGGTCTGGAGAAGCCTTTTTGGAAATTACTGAAAGGCTATTGATTTATAAATTTATGGAACTTACGGTCAAGCAAAAACTTTCATTCAGTGATTGCAGCTTTATTTTTTGCTGCTCTCCACAAAGTAAAGTGACCTGGTAACTGTATGAATGGGAGATTCCCTGTTTCCCAAAGAGCGTTTAAAATTCTGGAAAGTGTTAGACTGAACAGCTGAATTCTTGTGTTACTGGAAACAAGGTAGTTGTTTTTTCTAAAAGTGGAAGTGTATTGGTATTTGAACACATCAGGCATGATATGAAAGCAAGAGGAAATTATGAAAGGAAGAGAGTCCCTCTGGAAGGGTCCCTTTGAAATCAGTGTCTGATGACTGACAGATGTGAAATGAAAAGACTGTCTCCAAAAAATACTGTGAAGGGCAAAGAGTATAACAAGTAGAAGGATCCTTCTGTAAAGATGTAACTGAATAATTGGAAGCCATTCTTTCTCCAAACACAACTTTTAACTAATACAAAGTGTTCTATAACAAGAGCAGAAATTAATTATTGTTAATAGACAACATCTTAGATAATAAGTTCTGCTGTAAAAATTTAACGGTAAAAACAGGCGTTTTTTTTGCAGTGCTTTGTTGAGCACGTAGTTTTTGTCTGAAAGATGTCTTCCTGATGCAGAATCTGTTGGGTTTTATTTAAAGAAACAACTCAGTGGCAGGTCCATATGTTTGTGAACTTACTCTGTTAAATGTGAATTGAATGTAAAATAATATGGTAAAAACTATCGGGGTATGCAGATATTTTAAAATACCCGCTCTGATAGAAGTTGTCACCACTCATATTAGGTGTTGATGCTCAAACCCAGTGATTGCATCAAGTTTAGGAAATTTTAATCTGATGAAAATACGCAAACAAAGAGCACAAGCCTTATGAAAGTCAACGAAAGAATTATTACACTTTGACAGTTTTGATTGGGGAAGTTTGAGGAAATACTGTTTTTCAGTATGTACCTTTTAAATTAAGAAGGGAGAAAAGAGGCTGAAGTTGATGTGGTAATCTTTAAAGCTGCACCAATTCATGTCTAAGCCAGAGACATCCTTTTAGAAGGGCATTTTTGTTTATTCACTATTCTAAGGACTCATATAAAATTAGGTTTTATGAATGCAAATGTCATATGGCTCTAAATTTGGAGCATTAAGCTTTTGATGGATTGGAGTATATGAATTTTTATAAGAAGTTCTTAATGAAGAAAGAACTAGAAATTAAAGTAGGCCTCTAAATTAATTCTTTTAATTTTCTAAGATTAATGGAGTGGAAAAAACCCCCATACAAATGATGAGAGTAAAGAGGACTCTATGTGCCTATTATATATCATATCTCATCTGTCACAGGATGTGTGTGTGTAATATTTGAAACTAGTGACAGTGGCATAAAATTTTAGTGGAAGAACCTTCTTCCACTAAAACCAGAAGATCTTAAATACCATGTTTCAGCAGTTCAATGCCATTGCAGATTTCTGGGTGAACTTTATGCCATCTTTAAATTTCCCACTTATGAGAAATGCCCCAGAACCTGTGAATACCTGGTAACTTTTAAAGATGAGGAGCATATTCCATAAGAGGACCTGAGGTCTCTCTTCCTACTGCTTTGCCAGGAAAACTGGAAGCAATTAAATATTCCTGATTCTTTTTGTGACTTTACCCTGGCATTAAAAACATGTAAACTTCATGAAGAAAACTATAATACAGAGCATGTAATCAACTGTATATTATGATTTCTTTCTGTTAGTCACCAGAAACTGCAAAGAAATGCACTTGTGATCAAAAGAAAGAAATTCCCTGATGTACCATTTCTATTTGCATTTATTATTTTGTGTAGATACACTGCCTACACCTTGAAGTTCATCATAAAACACTGATGATTTGGGAGAAGTGGAAGAGCAGGTTAGATTTAAGCACATTACTTCTCAAATAGACCATGGATCTGGGAGACTAAGTTAGGCTAAGGAGAGGAAGATAAACAGTCATCGAGCAATTTTATTATGCATTTGTCTTTGCTTTAGATTTAATTCAGCACCTACTTTGATTGTTAGAACTTCACTAAAACCCCTTCTTCTTTAAGCTTCTTCATATTTAATTGTTCTTTGATGATGGCATTTATGGAAAGTTTGCTTGGGAGGAGTTCAAGATTAAAGAGTGGTTTGATGGGACATGGTTTGATGGGGACAAACATCATGTACTTCGATGTCGCGACAAAAAAAAAAAAAAGCCAGAAGGAGAAATACTTGTCTGAATTTGAGTTGGTTTTTTTCTAGACTAAAATGAAAGAACTAGATGATTTTGTGAAGCCTCTGATGGAAACATCATATGTACTTGGCGCCACTGAAGTAACTTTATTGATTTGTGCAGTGAGATCGTCCTTGCAGAACAAGATCTAAGTGATGAGGTTTAAGATTTATAGTAACTTGGTCAGCCAACTTAGAAGGCTGAAACTACAGCCAAACCCCCATTCTTTATGTTAATATTTTTTAGACAAAAGGTCAAAACAAGCCATTTCAAGCTTGCAGTGAATCTAGAGCATTTAAAGCCAACTGAAACACTGCAGATATTTTGTTGTAATAATGTCTGCTCTGTCTCCATGGCTCATGGAAAGTCGTATGCTCTCAAACACCTATACGAATTGCCAGATTCAGTAGGTGCTTATTTTTCTGTAAAAATTTGGTACTTATTTCCTAAGGAATATACTACTTACTCAAAGGGCATATTTTGTTCACTTCCTCCCCATAGAATAGTATTTCTATGTTGTCTGGTATTTCAGGAGAAAAAGGACAGTAAAATTTAAGACTCTACTTCTGTATCTTTTAGGCCAGTCCAGCCATTGATCAGACACAGCATGGAAGATATTCAACACTTTCCACTAAATATGGAATGAATTACCATCATATCATGTGCACTTGATTGTGCAGTCACTGTCAGGATAGGTGATTATTCTGAGAATTTCTTTGAAGTTCACATTTTAAATTTTTTTAAATTTGAGAAAAATTCACATTAAGAACATTTTCACAAAAAAAGTTTTGAAGTGCTATGTGAAAATGTGTCAGTTCTGTTTTGTGGGGTTTTCTTGCTAACTTGGTAGAAGCATCTATACACGGGAGGAAAGCTTGCTTTTAAACTAAAGTTGGTAAAGATCTTTTGTGAAACTGAAAGAGAATATACTTAGTAACAGGATTTTTTGTTTGCATAGGCTTGTACATTATCAACTCCTCAGTTGTGTAACTGATTACTTAGTAAACACCTTCACTATCCTGGCATAGGAAAGAGAGGGGCAATTCTGTTATGTAAAATCAATGGAAGTATATCCTATCCTTTAAAAAAAAAGATTTAAAATTATTTGTTTGGAGTGTAGGATGGAGTTTTTAATACTAACTTTGCCCTTTACATATGCCTTGGGGGAACAAGGTGTTCATGGAGCTTCGTGGGAACATTTGGGGCTGATTGGGAATTGAAGTATATCCTGCCTTTCTTGCTGACCACAAAAACATGTCTTAAGATAGTGAAAGAAAACTTCCTCAGACTTTTAAAATACAAATGTAATTGCCTATGCTATAAATTGCAAATCAGAGTGTGGAGAGTAACTCCTCCCTTCAGTTTATGTCCTCTTGAGCACACTTAAGGAGTGGAGGGGAGCAGGGTGCTGTCCCTGGCTTCTTAGCAGGTTTGGTGTGGTTTAGGGGTTTTCTGCATTGATTTATTTCTCTCTTTAATGTAGGGTGATCTGGGGCAATGTCCAAACAGTAAGAAATGGCAAATAGCCATTGGGGCATGTAGCACCACTCCTTGCTTTGGTGGAAAAGTTTGGTGTGTGCTTGCGCAATACTCAATTATCCCATTTCACATGATCATGCAGAGCTGAAATTTGCACTAACTTGTATTTGCTCAGGTTTTGTTACAAGATAAATTACGCTTTAGATACACGGATATTAAAGTCTACTTAACGCTTTAAGATGTTAGGTGACAACTGAAAAATTGTCCAGGTGCTCCAGAGCAACACTGAGTCCATTGAAAAGCATGATGAACAACTCTTTAGAATTTCAGTGTAAATTTATGCTTTTACAATGCGAATTTGTGTTGCTTTTGGCAAGCACCAAGTATTATTCTGTACCTGTGAATATTGCTTGTATTACTTCAATTGAATTTTCTTAAAGCACGTTAAGGTTTCAAAAGTTGGGGTGTGTTTTCCTTTCCCTATAAATGTTTTATTAAAAATGTTTGTGGTTTAAGATTTAAATAATTTTTTTTCTTTCTTTTATTTAATAGGTGAATGTCTATGTGCTGGGAAAAACTTTCCTTCTGTTGGCCAGAGAACTCTGCATAAATGCTCCAGCCATAGGTATATTTTTTTGAGTTGACTTTTGAGTATTTGGGTTTATTTTCCACATGGTTACTTGACAAGACCGTATATGTATCTGTTTATATATACATAGTATTGTGTGCTAAATACTCAAGTGGTAACTTAAAAATGACATTGCTGACTATGAGAGCCTGCTCTCCTTTACGTAAGAGTATTTTGGGAGCTAGATGCTCTTTCACAGATAATTCTGTAGCTTTTTCCAATGGCAGTTTAGGCTACACTAAGACAATAAGCTAATGTGTAACAAATTTGTGTGTGTCTACAAGCTCGCATGGGCTTGTCACACTTCAGTTCCAGAGATGCAAGATTTCTTAAGTACTTGCCAAATTTACTGTCTGTCCATCACTTGTAGCAGAGGTGTTCAGTGCCTGAAATACAAGTGACCTGATGGAAAATGAGAAGCAACTTTTTCCAAGCATGTGATGAATAACTTTTCAATTAGTAAGTCATCACTGAAATCCTAACAGTGATAGGAGGGTGGGCTTTAACCTGTCAAAAGGGTAAAAAAGCTATTGTCTAGGCTGTAGCTTTTCAGACAAGGGAATTCATGCCAATTCCAGTTAAAAGAATGCATTTATAGAGAAGTCTTGTGACTGTTACCCACCTCTGTGCAGGAATTTTCTCCCTGTATCTTTACTCACTCTCACTCCCACTCCTCTTAATCTGTACTGAGTGAGTCACATGCCCTTGTGTTGCAGAACACCACGCACACCCCCCTGTCAGACGTACTGAGCTGGGCTCACAAGTGCCTTTCTCTTGCCTTTGCAGCAAGAGAACCAGCAGCTCGCTCACTGAGTGAGCATCATCCTAACAGCATCCAGATAGCATGTGGCAGTGCACAGCTATCAGCCATCATGGTGTGCTGGCTTCGTTAGCATAGCTTGATGTCTGGTAAAAAGTTCTTGTCTTCAATAATTCAGTTGCATTCTTATTTTTCATTACTTTTTTTCCAAGAGATTTGTATTGCAGCTTTAGTTTCTAGGTGAAAATTAATGCAGCTTAGGAAAAGGCAAATAGAAAACCCTTCTAAATTATATCTAGAGGTACTTTTGTTATACATGGAAAGAAAAAATATTCATTTAGACTGTTTGAATATGTCATTAAGAAGAGTTTTAGAAATAGGTTTTTTTATAATTGGCTTATCTGTAATAACTGTCAGATGCTTCATAAAAACACATACTTTTAACACATTTTGAGAACAGTTAAAGATACTAGCTATAAAATGACTGCTGATAGTGATGGAACTATGCTGTCAGAAAAAAATAGAGGGGGTGGAAAGATTTAGCAGCTTTTGTTTAAGGTGTGGCATATTTCCAAGTAGTAATTTTGAGTGAACTTAAAGACCATATTAAAAGTATTTCTCTACTGTCTTCTCCTAAATCTAAGGATAGGATGTATATTTACATAGTGACTGGTAGCATTATAGCTCTGGGCTAAATCTGTGATGGAGCCTGTCACTGCATTAAGCTTCATCTTGACTCTGGCCGTTGAAGGGGTGTGCAGTTTGACAGGTACAAGTAGCAGTGTTGCTGTTTGCTGGGCAGGCTGGAGGTTAAAGCAGATGATGCATGTGAATGGGCATTAGCAGTTTTCAAATTACAACCACAGGGTGATTTTGGTCAACTTTGATAGGGTTTGTCTTAGCTTAAGTAACACAGAAAAGCTCTGAGCTTCCATGTATGTCATCTCCCTTTTTCATGAAGGAAAGTAAAGGCTGGTGATGGATAGTCTCAACTACCAGGCAAGGGCACCTTTGTATTTGCGGTGATAGATAATGCCCTGTGTGGATGCATATAGGAGACTGACTACAGTATCATCACCCCTGTTAATTCGTCTACTGTACAATTACAGACACAAGCTGTAAGATCAGCAATGATCAAGTACACAGGATTTAGGGCAAGTAAAAATGTTTTATATTTCACAGATTCATAAACTGCTCTAGTTTAGAACATTCTGTTTAAGTCAGCTGCAGTCTGCAAGTTAGTTATCTATATACAAAATAAATGCACAGGACGTGCAAAATTTAACATTTTTCTGCTTGTTGCAGTCTTAATTATTAAGTCAAATAGCTTATGAATAAATAAAATAAGATTAAATTCAAGAGCATTCCTTCACTTATTTGTATAGCCTGTTGTAGCAGATAGGTAAGTAGCATAACATTCCATACTGCTGCAGAGTTTGTAGTAAAACTGAAAAATCCCTTAGTGTGCATCATTGCAGTACTGGAATACAATCAAGGTGAAATGCATCATGCATAGAAAATGAGCTCAGGTATTTGTCCTCCTTGCACTCCGGTTCCATTAGTACTGTCCGAGGAGCACTGGAACTGGAACGTCACTTTCCCGCATTGCACTTCAGTCATTCCCTCTTGCCCAAAGTAACTGAGTTCATTACCGTCAAGAATAGCACTTACGTTGTAAAATGTGTCTTGCTCAACCTGCACAGGGTGTTCAAACCACACAGAGAAAGTGTTACTGGAGCCGTCAGAGGTAAACTTTGTCAGATTTTGAGCAAGGACAACTCCCAAGCGCTTCAGTTCGATTTTGACACTGTATTCAGCTTTGCCACAGCTTGAGCCATACAATCCCAGTCCTGCTATAAATATCCGTTTATCTACGGCAAACTGAATACTGTCACATCGCCCTCGGTACCTCCACTGATTGCTGCGATATGCAGATGACTGAAACCGATGGCATCGCTGAGGTACAAGTCCTTTTCTTTTTGTCAGTGGAAACTCTAGTTTGGGTTTATTTGCGGCTGTGTACCATAGGAATATGTTGTGAGTTTCCTCAAGGGTGAGGATGTCAGACTGGGCAGCTCCGTTGGCAAACTCTTCCAAAGTCATGGTTGGAATCCGCACCAAGTACAAAGCTTTTCCTAATACATTCCTCTTGTTGCGCGGTGTAACCGGCAGCCCTTGCCTTTTGCATTCAGCCTCTGCCCAGTTGAGAACAGCCTCGAAAACTACCACTTCCTTGGTGTTGAGTGCCTCCCGGGTTACAATGATCTCTAGCGTTTGTTGATCTATCTCACAGAAGCCCTCTGACTTCAGTGCCATTTCTGCCTGAGCATCAATCACTTCCCAGCAGCGCTGCGTCAGCTCTGGCTCCTCGAAGAGCCTGCTCTGAGACAGCAGGACACAAGCGTTCTTCGCTTCTAAACTGGTCTCCAGAAAATTGACGCAAGCCTTTGCTAGGGCCGGTACGATGTACTTCTTGGCAGCATACAGCGTAGCCAGAACTGTGTCAGCTTCCAGGTCTATTTCGTCACTATACATGTATCTAGATGGGGGGGAAAAAAAAATAGTTTCTTAGGGAAAAAAAAATAAAATATAGTCCATGAAAGATTGATCTATGGTCACCTTTGCTGGCAGTGAATCAGACATTGAGTATTTGTCAGCACATTAAGTAAACAGCAATAAGTGCGTATTGCACAATGGCTGGTAGCGGGGCACGGCTGCGGCTCCGCTCCCGGCCCTGCCGTCCCGCTTACCTGCTCCGGGGGGGGAAGTCGCTATTTTAAACCGTTTCCGAGAATTTTTTCGATGTTCCTGTTAACGACTGTGTGGCACCGAGGTTCTTCCAACAGTCGCAGTCATCAGTGGGACAGGGAGAAAAGGGGAAGTCTTCAGAAAGACAGATGCTCCTTTCTTTAAAAATCATGTTTTTCTTGCTGTCTGCTTCGCGGCCCCCTCGGTTCCCGTCAGGAAAACCAATGGGTTTTGCTGCACTTGAACTTGCTCGCTCAGGTGCAAGGGTGTCGGTCCCGGGGGTCTCCCTGAAGGCCAAGGGCACTCCCCTGGAGCGGGGCACCCCCCGCGCATCCCTGCTTGTTTAGTACCCGCGGAAGGCACCGAGGTGTTGGGGGTTTACAGCTTCTCAAAGAAAACTTACTTGTTTTTAAATGTTTGCATCCATGCGGGACACGTTCATGTTAACCTCGGCCCTGTGTTAAATTTATATATCGGTAGTATTGCTTTCTAGCCATTTATGGCCTCTTTAAGGCTTTTCACTTAAAATTCACTTGAGTATTCATTTTCTGACTGTTTGGTAGCTTCAGAATTTAAATTAACGATGTGCAGCGTTTTGTCAAATGACCTGTGGGCACGCATGCCAGCAGAAATGTCTGAACAGGTACAGTGCAAATGCGTCAATGCTGCGGCTGGAGGAGCCGAGGCTGGACCCTCTCGGGGAAGAAGAGGTGGGAAAGCAAAACCTTGCTTTGTAGCATCGCAGGCGTTTCTGCAGAGCAAAGAGCAAAGGTTAAATGTCTGTTGAACCCCAGGCTATCACTACGGAAAAGTGTTTTTTTGGTTGTTGTTGTTCTATTTTGGAATTGGTTATTTCTGTTGAGCAGAGCTTTATAAAATCATACTTGGAAACACAGAACGGCTGCCCTTAAGAATTGTGTCGCTGGGTTAATCTTTCATAAACCTTTGATTTTTAGGGTCATGTTTAGGAGGTGACTGCACTCTGGCACTTCTTCAGTTTTGAGGGAGATGTGTTTGGAAGTTTTTGCTTGATAAATGCTTTCATTCAAATATTTTTGCAGGGCTGACAGGCATAATCACCTACGGTGTGGTCTTGGTAATTACGGATAGCAACAGGGCATCTTTGTTAGAACTTGGAGCTAAATGAACCTGCTTTGATTAATTGTAAATCTGTAAGATTGTTCCAGTGTTTCAAGCTGAATTTTCATCTTTATCAGTTTAAGTGCCCACATAGGGGATCAGCTAAGGAAATTGAGTTGAGACTAATAGTTAACAATTTACCATACATCATGGATTTTCGGTCTGGTGATAAAAGGCTGGCAGGAAATGAGAAATTGATACCTCAAATAAAAGTAAACTTGTGTTAAGTGTAGCTTTTACAAGATTGTTTGATAAATTATAAATTGGTTTAGGCAAAGCGCAATCTGTACTGACATATTTCAGTTAGTTTGAAGCTGGTAACACCAACACTTGAAGTAAGTTTATATATCTGGAGGCAGATCTGTGGCCGATGTAAATTGTCATAATGCTGTTAACGTTAACTGGGTTCCAGTAATTTATGCCAAAGGAGAGTGTGCTTTAGTATCTGTAATAGACAGTGGTTTGTATCGTTGGAATATGAGTCTGAGGAGGAGCTAGAATTAATTTTGAAGGTGCAAGTAGACTTTTGTTAGGAACATGGGATTTTAAGCAAACTAATTTTTTTGAAGCCTAGTTTGTAGTTAGGTGTGAGATTAGACATGCAAGTTAACTTATTTGTTACTTTGCAGGAGGTATTAGAAGTTTTGGGTTTAAGTCATGCCCTCATTCAGCAAAAGCCTTTGCAAATGCTTAGCTTTGCGCCTAATATCGCTGATATCAGTAACAGTGCTCACGTGTCAGAGTCAGCATGTGCAGCCCTGGACCCTGAAGAGCGTGTAGGAAAAGCATGTGCTGTGATTTAAAGGTCTTTTTGTCTATAAAGCAAGAAAGGATTTTCTTCTAACTTAACTAAAAAGGTGCTTCTAAAGCTTAATGCTCAGAGGATCTGGCCCAGCAGCACAGTCTGTGTTGTTTGCTGGGACGTGAAGCAAGCCAACCACGACAGCCCCGCAGCACTGGTGCTCAAGTACTGTGTTTCCTAAATCAAAGGTTAAGATTAGAAATAATTGTATTACTTTCTGTTGCAGATCCGTGCTTATATATTCCTCGTTTTGCACACATGCTTGAGTTTGGGGATAAGAACCACGAGGTGTCCATGACAGCACTGAGGCTGTTGCAGAGAATGAAGCGGGACTGGATGCACACCGGGCGCCGGCCCTCGGGGCTCTGCGGAGCAGGTATGTCAGACCCTGGCTGTATCGCTTCCGCGGGAGAGTCTGGGAGTGGGGAACACCTGAGGACTTTCTCATTTCCTCGGTGATGCCACTCACTCTGGGTTTTGTGCTGTCAGGCACCTACAGATTATATAGGTCTTTGTGAAATAATTTCTGAAACTCAAACTTTATTTTTGCCCTTGTTCTTACATTACTTGCTCAGATCGTTTGTATTTTACATTTTGGATTTTTTAACCTCCTTTCTGGTCCTCTTCTCGCCTACACTCTCTGCAAGCTCTAGCTGCTAAAAGGTTTTTTTGTCAGCTAAAATGACACCATTAGAGCAAGCACTTTGATTTGTGTCTTTACACAGAGTCTTATGCAAGAAATGCCCTCTTTGACCTGTTCTGTGAAATTATTTTCCTCTCCTTCTTCATCTTTTTCCAAGATCCATCACTGTCATGATGCTTACAAAAAACCTACCGGTTTGGGAGGGCTAGGTTAAAAGGTAGTCAGTACCAGCCAGTGAGGTCAGAGTAATGAAGAGAGTAGATAGTCACAGAGTTCACATATGCACTTTATTTTATTGGAAAGATCTTACGTGTGCATGCCGGAATGAGAAATCGCGCTCAAACCTTAGGGAACCCAGAACTGCACAATCTTCTTGAAATTTCTGTCCTCTTTTTGTTAATAGTACTTGCTTACTGCACATTGCTAAAAATTTGAGTATAGACTGTGGGAGACCAGCATGGTCTTTGATTCACTACATAGACTATATCTGCACAAGCAAGTAATTTGATTCAACTGACATGGATCAGTAGATTGAAGCGGGTGGTGCTGAGTCCTCTACATCCATCCACACAATACGCAGTTCACGTGATGTACTGTGGACTGGGTTTTAGTTTGGTTCCCTGGCCTAAATTTCTGTGCCACATGTTGTGTGAAGGACCGGTTTTTAGTTCACCCCCTGACTGATGTTCCCATTAGGAACTGGAGCACTTTAAACGCATGCCTGAAGTGGAGCTCTGGTTTAGTTTCCTCTGAAAGGAAGCACTTCTGCATGCTTAAAACTGTTCTGTGCATTGAGCCACTGGACAGTGCGTGAGGGATGATGCTTCAAAACAGAGGTAGTGCTCTGAATCAGCACACAAATGTAGATGCAGCCAGTACAAGTTATCTAGCCGCATAGAGGGTCTTGCAGGAGAGCACTTGGACACTAGCAATGCAATCGATGGTGTTGACAGAAATGAGGATAACAGGTTAAGCAGATTCAATGTTTTGCTGGAGATCTTTTTATTCCGGACTAGTAAATTCTGCTAAGAAGATGATAACTTTGAAAATACCCGATCAGTGAGATGTTCTCTTGCTGTATTTTAAATAGCTGACCATGGTTCCCTAAATGTTAAAACATAGAGTTTTTCAAGGTGCGGTTTGCAGTCAGCTTTATTTTATTGGGCAGGAGGAAAAGTTTGTAAAGTCAAGTCCATCACCTGTATTCAGAGACACAGCTGAGCATAAGCATTTACAGCTCTTTAGCTGAAGGCAGGGACAAAGAGAGGGTGTAGTTATCTGGCTGTTTTCTGCTTTTCTTCAGGAAATTTTCCTCTTTTTGACATTGACTTTCCCTGCTTATTCTCTAGCTCTGCTAGTGGCAGCAAGAATGCATGATTTCCGACGTACTGTAAAAGAGGTCATCAGGGTGGTCAAGGTTTGTGAGTCTACATTAAGGAAAAGGTCAGTGCAGTTTTATTGCTTTTATCTTTCATTTACAGTACTGAAAAGTGGTGTAGTCTAAAATGAATGTAGATCAGAGAAAACCAGGTTCTTTTCCTTTTCAGAAGTGCCAAGAATAAAATAAGTACAACATGTTTTAGCTGGTCATTTTTAAGTACTAACACCTGCCTCTTATGTAAGGCCTCAAATGCTTAGCAAAGATGGTAAGGAGTGCTGTGCCCATTTAACAGGTGAAGAGTTGAAGGCAAAAAAGTGTTGGATCAGAAGTGTTAGCAGTGTTGTCATGTCCTCAGAGGAAATAATTGATTAATTCTCAAACCTGAGGGTCTACTATGGGATTTTTTTTTTCCTTTATCCAGAATACAGTGCTGAAACATCTTGTCCTTTAGCTGTTATTGAACAGAACTTTCAAAAATAATATACTGAAATGTTAATTTTTGATAGTGTTGCACTGCTAATAAATAGAAGACAGTGCAGTGAGTCTAATGATAAGTTCATTGAAGGGGCCCGAAGTGGAATTATCAGCAGAATGTGAGCCTGAGAGTGGGAATTTCCCAAGTATCATTGACATTTATTATTATTTTTTTTAAGATCTAGTAGTATTTTTGGTATTTTGATAAAGCAAGCAGTCATCCAGTTTCCTTCATTTTAGTTTTGAAAAGTTCTAATATTTTCATTCCCTGTAGGTTCAGTAAAAAATGAGCTAACTGTGAAATACCATGCTTTCTGTTGCCCCCAGTTGGAAATTTCTGTACCACCATTATATTCTGAAATCTGTTCCACCAAGAACTTTAGAAAGATCCCCTGGTGTCTCTCTTTCTCTCCACCTTACTAAGACCAGCTTAAACACATCCATCCTAGTCAAATGCTTGTTAATCACAGAATGGTTTAGGTTGGA